AAAACGTTGAATCTGATTACTTAGAAAGAAATCATCTGCAGTTATAGTGGAGGGTACAGTGGGGAAAGAAAACAAATACCGTTAAAATAGACTTTCAGAATTCACCATGTGTCTGTCTGTTCCTGCTTCACTCTGCCCACCTCTTCCCCTTGGTTTGTACAAAGGGCCCAAGACTGAAGCTTCCTCAGATAGGCATCTATCTCCTGGGCACTAGTTACAGTCAGAGGATCTCATCTCTGCCCTCATTCTCTTTCTCTGCTGCAGAGTTAACTCCCAAGAGCCTTTGTGGATGTCACTGCTGAGTGTGAATCCAGCACACACATGCATACATGCATGTGTGTGCGCACACATACACACCTTTACATGACTTTTGTCACTTGTCTGCTGGAACCATGGCCATCACTCTAAATAGAGGCAGTTAGAAAGACAACAGAACCTGTTTAGTTCTAATAGTGCATTTAATTCTCTATCTAAAGCCATGGGAGAATAAGAGAATGGGGCACATCTGCCTTTGCTCCTGACATCTAAGTGGCAATCTGCTAAAAAATCTAAATAATTACAATCATCATTACCAAGGATTTGCAGAGGCAAGCATTAGTGTGGCCTGCTGCTGTAGCAAGGCCGCTCTGATGAACCCAGAGATGTAACTAGTTTAGACTCTCAGACAATTTACTGTTCCTATGGTAAGACTGACCTTAAAAGGCGTATTTTATTTTCATGTCAGATGCTAACAGAAAGACATTTGCATGTCTGCTGAAATCAATTCATAGGTCATTTGTAACTAATAAGCTCTTCAAGCAAATGATTGTCTGATCACTGAGAAGTCACCGATGTCGGAATGAGGATCCAGAGCACAGGTATGGATAAGTCCAAGGGTTTCTCACTACTGCTCCGACCTCCAGACAAAAGGCTTCACTGCAGAGAACAGAGCCGGATTCTGCAGGTGTCTGTTTTCTTTGAGGAGATATTTTGAGGAAACCTAAAAGGGAGTAAGTAAAAACTATATTTTCACAGCAGGATATTGCTTTTTCTCTTTTTGGTTTAGGTCTTACATTTGTTACAAGCCTACTCAGACTCCAGACACAGAACAAATTCCAACTTGCAGCAGGAGCTGACTGACCTCACTGTCTGCACCAAAGCCAAACTCTGGCTGGCCAAGAGGTATGCTGAAACCCACCCCACATGCACAGGAGCCACCAGGGGTTCTGGAGACATTGCAGAGTAGCTCTATCTTGTTGTGGAGAGTTTTAAGAGTTGTTGACATGAGCTTTCTAAACTTACTGGAGTACTAATCTTTTCAGAACTTTGGGTTGTGATGCAGAAAGTATTTTCTTGAGAATTTTTCTAAAACTGCTGAGTGACTGGGGGTATATGTAACATGACATTTTATCTGCCTACCAATCAATCTGTTGTTATTAATACCTGCTGTATGCCCGCCCTGTGTTACGTATTATAATAGTGAAAGGCGGTAATTGGCCAAATCATGTGGTGCAAACTCTTAGGTGCCATGGCTCTCCAAGGCTGGTGATTGGTTTAAGCCCTGTGGTTTAAGCCCTGAGCAGACACTCAGGGATAGATGGGATGTCAATAAGAAAGGGGGATGGAAGTTGCCGTTTTTTTAAGAGGTTTTTTTTGGAGAGGTTTTTGCTATAGGGCACGTGTGCTAACCAGAAAGACAGAGAGACAGAAAGCAAGAAATCACCTCCAGGGGGGATGGTCACGCCGCAATCCCTTCTCCTCCTTTCTCCTCTCGGGATCTTGGGCACACATGCACACATGCCCAGTGTGAGTTTAAGCCACAGGGTCTAGAACTTGAACTGCGGTCAGCTACATGGGAGTCCAGTGACATAGCTATTATGCCAACTGCTGGTCCCTAAGAGATATTTTTTGCTATAGGGTTTGTATACTTGCTGGAGAGACAGAGACAGAGAGAGAGAAAGTGAGAAACCATCCTCTGGGGGGATGGCCACACCACAATCCCTACTCCTTAATTCTTCTGTCAAGATTTTGGGCATGCACGCACATGTACCGGTGTGAATTTCAAGCTGCCCAGTCTGGGACTCAGCCGAAATGTCAGCCCTGTGACATTTCGGCTCCTTAACCAGTTCGCTACCTACTGACCCAGAAGTTGCCATTTTTAGGCGGGCAGTAGGGTAGCTTGAAAAGGCAAGGCAAAGAAGGTTAAAGGGCAGATACACACACTCACACACATATTTTTTTTAACACTTGCCATTTTAAGTTAATTCTGGAACTTAGAACATTATGTGAAAGAAGAAGTAGTAGAAAGAGTTTCTCATTTACTCTCTGAGTCCTCTTCCTAAATACGTGGTTTAATATCCATGTTGTAGGACTCAGACTGCTGGGCAGTGATCTGGCAAGGGCCCCATATGTCCTCTATCAGTTCTAGCAGAGTAGGTCCAGAGGAGGCCTGTGTGCTACCACATTCTGTGCTGTACTGTGCTGCATTTGATTAAGAGTCATTCTATTGGTTGTCTTATTCCCCACACCCAAAAAGCGTTTGTTTACTTTCGTTGGGTTCTTCACATTATGTGGGAGATCAAGTAATGGGCACTATTAGATCCACGAAGCACTTTTTTAAAGAATTATTTGTTTAATTTTACTTACTATTTTTTCAATTTGACCAGAGGCGGTGGGGGGGGTATAAAAGCAGGGTACCAGGTCCGGGACTCAAACCGCAGTCGACCACGTGGGAGTCCAGCGCCTTAACCACCACACCACCTGCCAGCCCCATGCTGAGAATCATTTTAATCCAACAAAGTATTCCTGAGGATAGCTCATAGGCCGGCCTTTGTCTTAGGAGATGTGGGGATGCAAAGATGTAAAAGAACGAGTTCTGGCTTCAAGGACTTCAAGAACAATGTAAATAAATTATTTTCATCAAGCTCAGTATAATAACGAATGTGTGTGTTAGCTACAGGAGTAGCCCAGAGAAGGAGCAGGAGAGGACTGGCACCGAACCAGCCATCAAGAGATGAGACTTCCGCCAAGTGGCCAAGACAGGGAGGGGAATTCCAGGCTTAGGTAATAGCAAAGGCAGAAACTTACCAGTAGAAAGTCGCATTGTGGATTTGGAGAACTCCAAGGAAGTTAGCTGTTCTGGAACCTAAAGGAAATCACATGTGGCAGAGATGAGGCTGAGGAAATATGCAGAGGACAAACAGGGAAAGCTCCTACAGGAAATCTTCTGGTGCAGGGGAACCAGGGGTAGACTTGCCAGTGTGTGGATACGTGTCTCAATGACTATCTCAGCACTAATAGCTTTGGACAGGGGTATTGATAGGTAAATCCTGTAGTGTCTGAAATGCCAATAAAATTACGATAGACCTGTCATTTTTAATCCAATTTTTGTTTCTGCCATTTTAATTAGAGAGTAGAAGTTGCTTAGCCATAAATTGTTTCCCCATGTTTTAATACTTTTGCCTTCTGCGTGGCTTTCAGACAGCTTCCCCAAAATGCATTTCCTGGGAGAATAGGATCTTATAATCACAGTTGTGCTCTCAGCTGTTCATCAGTTAACAGGCCAGGTCCTCCCAGGTATTATTTCTGGAGATCAGGAAATTAAGACTCTCTGGAAATCATTCTGTTGAAACCTCAGTTCCAGTCAGGACTTCCCCAAGAAAACTCTCCGTTTCTTTAGAGCACTGTAATGAAGGCGTTCCTGCTTCCTTAGCTTGCTTCTCCCTTGTGGGTCTCGAAGAAAGTTATACCCAGAGGCTTCCTGAGTCCATTCCTTCTCGTTGGATGGGATGGAGGAGATGGAGCGACAGGCCAGCCGTTGCCTGGACCTTCATGTCGTGCAGTGCCTAAAGGTGGCTCACAAAGCTGCCATCTGCTTCCTTCAGCTGGAGAGGTCCCCCTGGCCTTTGTAAACCTTCCCTGTGGTCTACATCGCTGTTTTCAGATCAGGTTTTCATCATTATTCTCTCTCCTTCCCTGTTCACTAATTTTTCTCCATGAATTTCCAACTCTAGGAAACAAAGGCATGAATTGGCGTGATTCACTGAGTTTCCACTTTCCTTCCCCAGAGTCCAGGGAAGCCACTTTTCCATTTTTAGCACAGTCACTCTATATCACCCAAGTGTGAACTTCCACTTTGTGGGTGGTCTGTCGATGGATCTGTAGTGCCAAGCTTCCTCTTACTCTCCAACATGCTTTTACAAGTATCATTCAGAGTGTATTCAGAGGCCGAAACAGTTTAGAAGGAAAGCATACTGCTAAAGCAAAGTGTCCTCCAAAGTTCTGTATCGGTTACTGTGTGAGCCACATCCGGACAGGATAACCTTGAGGTTCCTTGTAGGAAACTTCAGAATTGGGTATAAGCTAGGAAGCGCTGTCTCTGAGATCCTCTTGTCCTAGGAGCTGATTGCCTACACTAGTTAACTCGCTGCTCTCGTGGACCTGTTCTGCGTCTTAGTGGCTGCTTCTCAAAGCAGACTTCTGTCTTTATTTCTCACCTGCCTTTCTCATGAAGATTCTATAATGCAGAATATCTCAAATTCAACTGCTGAAGAGTCTCCTAATGGTCTTGGTAGTTTACACATGGAAGAAGAATAAATGTTCCTGTGAACCTACTAAGGATTTTCTATAGCTTTTGAGTATAAGCTATGAAAATTTAATGTTAATGCAAAAGTTTTTAAGAGGTGGTTTAAATTTTAGCATCAGGACTTATCTTCTATAATCCATTTGATCATTAGCCTGAGTTCTTCAATCCAGTAAGTACAAAAAATATGAGGTGTCATTTATTTGTCCTTTTGTTCCCAAACAAGGTTTTAGAAGAAAAATCTTGAATTGGTTATTCGATTCAATTTTTAAATTTTGACCCTGAAATTGTGGGCACATAAAATAAAGACTTTTGTCATCTATTTATGTTTTGACTTTGCAAGATTAATAGGGATTTATATGAGGTGATTAAGCAATAACCATGAAGTTGTTGGGGAATTTTCGGTGATGAATGGCCAGCTGGCAACGTGACTAGAGTGAAAGACTGGGGTTCTGCTCTTACAGGCCGCTTTTCACTCCAAGATGTCAAAGCCTTTATGGAAATCAGGTCATTAATCTTTCAAGTCCCTTCCTTCTCTGTTTTTCTCCATCCCTCCCTCTTCCATACAGCACACTGTCTTTCTCATGGTGCTAGGACAGTTTACCAACTACTGAAGGAAAGCTAAGCTGAGCCAGGCCAGAAACAGTAAGAATAGGGGTCAGCTGCTGGCCTGGAAAAGTTGGCTGTCGGCACCATTGCAAAGGAATCCACACCATCCCGACAGATGTCCTGCCTGCCGATTCCAGCTTAGCTGATCCAGCTGGATCCCCAGCTGGAGCATAGGTTCTGCCTAAATAGGTAGGACTTTTAGAAGCCCTGTTCAGTAGGGCTAACTGCACATTCTTTCCCTCGAAACAACCAAAAAAAGTGAAAAAAAACTAGAAGGACACATTTTTCTTTCTGGTCATCATATTCTCCATTGCTCTTCAATCTGAATAATTCAATTAACTAAGTTTATTAAAAGGAATAAACTCCTAATACACACACACAACACATGTGCACACTCTTATCCCACATTTATTACACATTTTTTTCCCTTTTATAACCAAAGAAGGAGACACTATATAATCAAATTCATTTCTAAAATATTCACTATCTGTGATCGGACCATGCCCCAATCCCTTCTCCTCTTGGCCGTTTTTGGTATGCACATATGCCTGGCTTGATTTTTAAGCTGTCAGGTCCAGGACACGAACCATGAAATTGGCCATGTGCAATCTAGCCACCTTAACTACCACACCACTGACTGGCTCCTACATTTCTTTTTTTAATTAGTTGTTAGCATTTAAAAATCAGAAAATTTCACAGTAAATCAAGATTTTCATCTTTGGAAAAACTAGAACACCAGGTCCTATTTTCCACATGGCCTCAATGGCAAAGTATTAGCCATCCTGTCTTGCTGATGCAGCATACTCTCCGTACTTGGCTACTGTCCCTGCCCAGCTACTTCTCTCATCAGGTTACCTGCTGAGCACCCATGAAAAACAGGAGTTTGTGGCTCTTGGTGTTGGCATTTATAAGTGCTAGATGACTGGTAGTGAGTTTTTACTACAGCCAGCAGGTTTTTTTTGTTTGTTTGTTTGTTTGTTTTAGAAATTTT